ATCTTTAAAAAGAATTCTTTGCTTACAAAAGAAAAAGAGGAAGAGAACTTTTAATCTTGATGTCTCTTCAAGATTGTTCCGCTAGAATTGATCTTTTACAAAAAGTTTAAGTAATCTTTGTTAAATACATATATCATATATCTATACGCTATACAATTCTTAGAGATATAACAATTCATTCAGCATTTGAAATCATTTTGAGAAAAATATTAGCTTTCAACAATAATTTTTTATTGAAATTTGTATTATTTTGCAAGATTATGTCCTAATATGTCATATATTGAAGGAAGAATAAGATAATTTATAAATTAAATTGAGTCACGTAATTCATATTTTTTTATTTTAAATTTTTTAAATAGTTCCTTCTGTGTGTTTTAAATGTAATAAATTAAATAATCAATAAAACAAACGTCGTAAATAATTACATTAAGAAATTAAAGTGAAGCAACACTTCGATCAGTTTTCCTTGGACGGTGAATCATCTTTCCTCAATGTTTTACATTTGCAGCCAGTGGCAGCCAAGTCTGAAAATTTGACATTAGCCTTTAATAATGCAGGCAGCGCGATTATTCTCAATTATCGTTTCTCCGCGGCGAAAAGAAAAAGAGATTTCCTCGAACGGATACTCGAAGGTGTTTCGAGGACAGAGCCATTAGGTTCTCGCCTGTTTCGTGCGTGACATGAATTTTTCTTCTGTTCTCTTTAGATGAGGGATGCGGTTCCGCAGAAAGGAAGTAATAACGTAGCTACTCCCAAATCCAAACCGTCCCTAGAGATATATCGACCCCCAGGTTTGTATCCTCTTGCTTTTAAGTGACTAGCGTTTTAACTGTCGTATAAATTATTCTAATCTTATCGTTGCACATCGAACGTCATCGTCTGGTTTCATGGTCACCCTCTAGGTGGGAGAGCGGAAGGAACCACGGCGAACGTCACCAATCTTCGACTGAACGTGCACGCCAAGGAATTCACGATGAAGCAGAACGATTCGCATCCTTCTAAGTGAGTGTGAACCAAACGGACTATATTTAAGTGGCGTTTTGTCACCGCGTGAAAATTGCTTGAAATTGACTCATGGCGTTCGTATCATTCAGCCTCTTTCAGATTTTTAATATTGATTACATAAATAACGGAACGATCTAAAAATCTTGTTGGCATTTAATATTAATAAATTTAGATTATTCCGTCATAGAATAAAATAAATAATTTTTCCATTATAAGATAAAAAAATAATTTGATAATTTCTATTTCTTTTTTCTGAGAGAACTAAAATTACTCTTTTAAAGTTTGAGTTAAGTTAAGTCGTTAAGCATGTTGACCATAATGTAAACACACGCGGAGCATTTTTCAAGAAATATTTAGCCAATCGAACGAAGGCTTTGTCCGGACTAAACTCCCCCCCCCCCAGAGTTTCGGACCACGCGATTCTGGATTAGGATGAATCTGTAAATAAAATCCGAATGGAAAAAAAATCCTGGATGTGTGTCCCGATCTAGGTCTCGGACTAGCGCGTCGGAGCGCACGCCGTATTATTTGCAGCACAGCAAATCGAGCGGTAATGTCCACCGATACCTCTACGCTCAGCAACAGGCACAGCTGCAGCATCCTCTGCAGCAACAGCACCAGCTACCGTCCCGCCATTCTCAGAGTGGACATCATTCGACGAATTCCACGTTGCGTCAGCCCCATCCTTTGGACACGTCCCCGTCCAGCGGAAATATTCTGCACGTAAGAAAGAATACGACTACAGCTAAAAAATACGCATGCGAAATAAAATAATATATAAACGTGCGCGATAAAATAAAAGAGGAAAGAGATTGATTCGATTTGTAACTTAATTCCCGAGAGGAGGCTCTCGAGCGTATGATGAAAAGTTGCTTGAATTTTTGCCCCGCCAGGCCGCGAATAGAGTACACTTCAACGTGGATCAAAACGAAATCAAGACTAATTCCGTGAAACCGGGCAAGCTTACCAAATCGCACACTTTTGTATCGACTTACGGTTTGAAGCGGACGAAGAGCTTAAACTCGACAGACGTGTTAACTGCCAAGGCACTCAACATCGCGGACGCTTCCGAACTCGGAAAGTTCCCCTCGCCTGTTCAAGATATACTTTTGCGAACGATAGAAGGTAAGGATTTAATTTTAGTCGGAATCAAGTCGGAATTTATCAAGCTGAGTACTTAAATAAAATGCATATATCGAATATATTATTCCGAGTAGTCCGAATATATTATTTTTAACTGCATAAGATATTTGGTGACAAAATGACTGGAAAATAATTGGATGATTAAAGATGATCGATGTGGCGTTCTTGACAGATCCGAACCTTTTAAACGCGAGGACGTTGATGGAACTGGTACGGCACATCTTGGACAGGGTAGTGGAGAATCGTAAATACGCCGAGCCGGCAGCAAAAATTTGCATCACGATTATAGAGGTTCATTGTTTTTTTTTTCTTTTTATTATCCTTTCGTAAAATTAATCGTCGAAATGACTGATGAAAAATGAACATTCGCTTTTAACCAGCATATTAAAAAGTAAGCTTTTATTTTTCAATTTTGAAGAAGTCGAAATTAAAAAAAATATACAACAGGAAGATTCCTGTGGCTTTATGGAGAAAAAGAGAGCTTAATTTATTAAATAAATCTATCTAGACATTAATTTTGAAATTTTTCCTAAATAAGGTTTATTAAAAAAAAATATATATAATCTTATTATTTTTGTTCATATTTTAGTGTAGAAAATAACAATAATATTCTAATTTAAGCGATGATCTTGGGATCTATGATACTCAAGGTGAAATATATACAATTTGGAACGTGTTGCAGAAGGAAACGAAGGAAACTTTTCTGGAATCCTTGTTAAATATGTGCCAGCAGTGGTATCAGGATCGCGCTAGATTACTGCACGACGGCACTACCTACCATCGATATTCAGCCTTTATGATGTTTCTCAACGAGATGTATTGCCAGGTATAACTAAGCGGATAATGACGCGTTTATCACGCGGTATTCTATTATCCACTCCGTAAGAAACGCTCCACCGACTCGTTACGACTTTATACCTCCGCGCGATGAAGAGAAGCGGGCCAGTCGCAAGGTTCTCGGGCTAACGTATAATCTAATGTTCGTTTCAACAATTCATTTGTATGCCCCGTTTTTCTTTTTATCGCTTTTGCTCCGTGTTACGACTGAGCTCTCGAGCGTGCCCGCATAAACGCGCATAATCGCGCTGTTCCAGCTGAAGCGACGGCAGCTACAATTAAAGACGCAGCAGGAGGGCGTTCCTCCCGGACGCGTGCTCCTCACGCTGCTTTGGAAATGCTGCCAGGATTGTCTGCAACCGCCGGTCATCAATTCACTCGCCGAGGTGGGCTAATTAACGAGTGTCGTGAAACAAAGTCTCTTGTATAAAAGTTGTTCATTGTTGTCCTCCTCATTCTTCAGTTTAACCCGATCTTAATCTTATCTACGATTAATTAAATAATTAAATTAAACAGAGGTTTGAGGCAGGCGACATAAAAATTCGAATAAGATGCGAAATAGATGAAATTGCATTAATATATATATATATATAAGACTTTACACGTTAAGTGATCTTATTTTATTCTTGCGCCGGATTCTTGATGGGAGACTGACCGCTCTCTTCCGCCTGTGCCGTAGACGAACTGCCTGTTCTTCATCCTCACGTGCATCGGCAAGGATCTGGACGCGGAGCTGCCGGTGCAGCTTCAGCACCTGCTCGGCAGCGTGCGTGACGCCTTCCTGGCGGAGGAAACGACGCTGCCGCCGGTCAAGAGGACGCTTCTGCAACTGATCGAACTCCACGCCGCCCATTGGCAGCTGCCGGCGCCTGCGGTGGTCTACTACTACCCCTCGAATTCAAACTCCAAGTAACACCCCGCGACACCCGCCGCGGTTTCTCTTCTCGGAGTGATTTCTATTCGCGAGTGGAAAGCACGGGCGTATCTCAAGCACCGGAACGAAATGTCCTCTAACGAGCGCGCCTTAAAGCGCCAATAAACGCCTTTCGACGCGACAATAAACGCACGAACGAAAGTACGATGAGTTATACGTCAT